AACAACAACCACGCTGTCGAGTTTAAATAGCGGCAAATCAGCTGCACTTGATAGTAGTTGGTTGAATAAGGAAAATGAATTAGCAACAAGAGTTTACGGGATGTACATAGCTCAGTGGTTAACGCTTCTGACTTTGAACATCGAATTCGCAGGTTCGATCCCTGCTGAAGTCTAGAAAAAGAAGTCTGATGAGGAGATGTGGTGATCTCCGAAATAGTGCTATAACTTCTACCGCTTAGACTTTGTTGCTTTTTCAATTTTTCCTAATAAACAATCGTGGTACAAAGCTCAATAAAAATATTAAAAATAAAATGTTAACAAGCCACAATAACATTGACAAATAATAAATTTTATATTTTCGATGAAAAAGCTGGACTGATTTTTTTTTTTAGTATTTTAGCTGTATTTTAAAATTTCATTTTCATTAATGCTATCATCATTTCTATAGTGGTTCTCACAAAATTCCGCTATTCGCATGCATGCCTCGTTCATTAAGTCTCCAGGTACAGTTAGAACTATGCGTACAAAATTTGGACAATCAAAGCACGAACCCGGCAGACAAAAAACACTTTGCTCATTCACCAATTCCTGTACGAAATGTGTGTCGTTCTTGATGCCAGGGAAATGCTCTACATCTATGCCAATCATCATGTACATGGCGCCCTCTGGCATTATTGGATTAAGACCGGGTACTGCCTTCAACAAGTGATATGACAAACGCGCATTAGCCTGCAAGTTGAGAGATAAATAGAGCGACGCAGGTGAGAGTGAGAGCTAGAAAATATATGTGTTTATAAATACTCTTTTCTCATTTCACTTACATAGATTGTATTAATCACGTCATCGAAGAAACTCTTTGGTGTCTTCTGTAAAATTTCGGGTAGAGCTCCCTGTACGATTGTATTCGAGCCTAAAATGCGACCGCACATGCTCTTCAAGCCTGCAATCGCTTCACGCAAACGTTCTTCACGATCGTGTACCACTATCCAACCCATACGCCAACCAGGTACAAGGAATCGTTTTGTAGTGCCGCTGCATGTGAGTACCGGTACGTTTTTGGATAAACGACTAATAGCAATGAATTTAGAACCGGGAAAGACCAAGTGTTCGTAAATCTAGAAAGTAATGAATGTTTATAGAAAGAATCTAAGTCAAGTCTTAAGCGCTAACAACGGTTTTGAGGTGTAATAAATTGAAAGTAGTAGAGAAAGAATATCTTATCTCGACTTCTGGTTTTTTTTTGATAGACACTTTATTTTTGGGCTCTTGTCCACTAATAAACCTACATATTAACTAATCGGGTTTGGTTCAAAATGCCTAATTTGATAATGCAACAGTATTTTTAGGGGCGAAATAACTCCAACTTAGAATGAAATACCAAGACCCATATAGCAAAACCACCAAATCTTGTTGCATTCTCAGGGTACATTTTGCCTTTATGGCCATACCAAGGCTACAATTTTTTGCCTGAATGTTTTAAAAATAAGTATAGAAAAAGGAGTCGAAATCCATATCGGAGCGAAATATTTAGTTTGGGTTTATGTAGTAAAACTTCACTAGGAATAATTTTGTAGAACCTTTTAACCTATTAGCTCTCTCACAATTGTGGTTTTGACCCCATTTTTGTAAATTCTGAATAAAATGGCATTTGAGAGGTCACTAGAGGGTTAAAATGTCGTAGAAAATTATTAACCGGAAAGTTTCACCAGAGGTGTACTCAGACAAAAGAACGTTAAAGTCCGCAGAAAATAAAAAACAAATGTGTCCCCTGGAAATATGCAAAAACTTTTTTAAGCAACTGAATATATGTAAGCCCACGATACGTAAATGTGGTTCATCTGCGAAGGTGGTGATTGTCTCTCGATGAATATCGTTGCGACATATGTAGGTCTGGACTTCGTCCATAATTTCACAAGGGTGGCTCTGCTTCCAGTAAGTGCCTGTTCGCATGCTGCCTGCGCTATCAGCCGAGCATTAGTTGCTTGCTGAGCTTGAAATTGTGCTCCTTTACCGTCCGGGGTACGGTGTTTTGACAAGTCTGTAGTTTCGTCCACTGCGTAATACAGCTCCTCAGTGATCAAGCAAAAGCCGCATAGTTTAGAATCCGTTGGTCACCTTGGCCTTGGACTTATTTTGCCAACAACGTTTCTTTGTCCTCGCCTCAAGTCCTACCGGTGACCGATTTGAGAACCTTGTTGGGCCTCTGTGCTTTACTGGAAAATTGCAGTTTTTGTGTGCAGAGCAAGAGAACAAGATGTCAATGGTAACAGTTAAGATTTTCGGATTATTAACCGTAGGTCAAAGAATCTCTTATCTGTGACTGTGGAAGATTCGACATGTAGACGTTTAACATGTGCGATGCCTTATTTAGTTCTTCTAGACATCGAGGTTTCGTGGTCCCGAAAAAGTGCTTATGACTATTTTTGTCCCTTGATGAGAGATGATGCCTCAATGTCTTTTAGTAGAATTGAAAAGCAAACGGTATTTCAAAGGGCTTCAACAAGTCCAATAGGATCGGTTACGACTGTTTAGACAGTTAAGAATGTAAAGATTAGCTAAGCTAGTTAACCTGATTGTTATCATAATTAGCGTTATCCATATTCTCAACATTTTCGCCCAACTTAACGTGCGTTACAGTGTTAATGCTAGAACAAAATTTTTCCCATACATACATACATACATGCATAATCAACGAGTACCTACCTCATCCGCTATAACTGGCAAATAGTGTCGTTCGCATATAGCTAGCATATCCTCCAGATGCTTCTGACTAAACACGCTGCCACAAGGATTACTCGGATTAGTTATTAGCAATGCGGCTGTCTTATCATCAATTAAGCTCTCCAGCTGACGCAAATCGGCCTCCCACCGACGTTCTGGCAACAAATCATAGTATCGTATCTCTATGTCCAAACCATCGGATAGCGTTTTGTACAGGCAAAAGCCAGGACGTGGTACGAGCAGATTTTGTCCTCTATCGCATAACGCCAGAATGCAATACTCCAGCGCCGATGAGCAGCCGCTGCATATTAAAACATTCTCGTAATTTATTTCATCGATGCTTTGGTGAGCGCTGTATTTTGCGATGGCACGACGCGCTTTTTCGTGGCCCAGTGAGTGTGCGTAGCCGTTATAATCACCGCTTTCAAGCGACCGTTGTACGGCCTTGATAGTTGCTTCTGAAGCGCGTAGGTTACCGAATGTCGTCGGATCGCCTGTTAAAGATAAGTAAACAATTACAAACATGCTTAGGTAATTAATAAACAGTTTAATTAATTTTTACATTTATAAGAAAATTGTAAATCGATATACATTTATATATGTAAATGCACTGTTGCGTCAAACGTCTCTACATTGAAGCCGATCGTAGCTCTAATTACGCAAATGATGATCTTATCAGGCCTTCCAATTTATTACCATTGCAAATTCTCTTGGAAAAATGTACGAAGTACGCAATAAAAGGAAAAAGCTCTACTAGTTTCTATAAAATATAAGTATTTAATTAATTAATAATATAATTATTATTAAACAATTATCTGCCTTTGTATGCAAACAATTTAAAGCGTAACACTATTTGGAGTTTATGGCAATAGAACCTGTTGCCCCATATTAGCAGTATATTAATTTATTCAAGTCATAATCGATGAATTTTACGCTGAGTGAAAGACAAATCAGGTCTTTTATTTTATTTTAATTTTTTTCAAACAAAAACACACATTGTTGGCTGGGTTTGAGCTGCTTCGGCCGTTCTAAGTGAAAGCAAAAAACACACATAACTGGCGCCAAACGGATTAAAATTTAGGATATTTTTTAAGAAAGTTGCCATCTTTTTCAAAAGTTAAAATCAATTAATTGATAAGGTCAATAAAATAATACAACAGCGCAGATGTCAAACGAAAATATTTTGTAACGGGCCGGCAACCGTTGAAAAAATTAAAATCGATTTAATTGACAAATTAAACGAAATATTTTAATATGGGTATCAAACGACAAAGGTTTAAGAAAGCTTTATTTAAAAAATATTTTTAAATAAAGTTGCCACCTGTTTAAAAATTTTAACGCATATTAATTAACAAGTTAAAAAAAAAATTTAATATGGGTGTCAAACGAGAAATATTTTACGAAATTTGCTAGCTATTTTTGACCAGAGTTGCCACCAGTTTAGGATCGTATGTCATACAAAGTATGTACATTAGGATGGTCCAAATAAAGTAAAGGCGGAATTTTAATGCTCTCACCCCCTAGGATTGTTCTTAAAAAATATACCCACATTTTTTTTATTTTGAAATCAAAAAATATTTAGAGGTCCCTCAAAGTTTTCGATGTAGTATTTTATATGGGAAACCCACTTTTCGTAGAAATGGTATAGAGTTCTTGAAAACCGTTATTTTTCGATCGGAAAACTCTGGTTCTTTCAGGAGACTTCCAATAATAATACCCAATTGTTTATTTAACCATTTTTTAAAACTAAAAATTTTCTTTTCGTGCCCCTATTGCATTTTTTAAAGGGTTTTGGTGGTTTTTGGCGGGCTTATAAATTATAGTTACTATGAAAAAATTGTTCAATAAACAATTGGGTATTATTATTGGAAATCTCCAGCAGAGAAGCATTCGCGTTTTCGAAAAATTACATTCCAAAATTCAATCGTGATTTCACAAAAGCTGCCGAAAGTAACATAGGACAATTTTTTAACCAGGTGACGATATGTACATGATTAAAAAACAAAACAAGTTTATACTACATATTTACATGCATACACATGTATCGACGTTAAGAAATTTCATTAGGGGAGTACACATCTGCGATTTTTTTTTAACGCAAAAAGCTATCAATTTCTAGAATAAATTTCTCTCTATTGTAACACGAGCTGTTCGCATGACATTTCGCTGGCGATCTGAAAAATATGCCCTACATTTGCATACACAAGCTGTTTGTTGCGAGAGTTGTATGTACACATATATCCACCTGGTTTAGAGACGGTATTTATAGGAACCAAACTTGAAATTAACCTGTCCTGCTTCAAGCGCACGGGCACGTGCCCTAGTGGTAAGTTAGTACTATATCCGGCGATAGCATCCCTGTGAGAAATGTTTACTAAACAACTGCGCTAGTACAACGAACTTCTATTTCGTAACTACTTAGATAAATGTGTATATTTAATTAGAAAGATGCTGGTGGGTAGATATTCATTGTTCTGCAAGAAAATCTATGCTGGTGCCTAGCCACCTGATTCTTGTGTAAAATTAACTTCCAAGTCTTACCTTTTGATTTGAAAAATACTATTGGTGATCTTTCGAAAAGTTATTTCTATCCGCCAGAAATTCCCAGCTAAAACGTATCCGAAAGCTAAAGTTACTGAGAATTACGGTTAATTCTTGCCAACAATTAGTAAAGTGATGGAGTCGGCGTTGGACATGTTTCCAACTAGGAAAAACAAAATGGGCTAGTAGTTAACCCTTCTAAAACCGAACTTGTCTTGTTAAGGAGGAAAACAAAAATTGTGGAATTCCTCTTACCAAAGCTAAACGGGACGGGACTAGCCTCCTGAACCTTTCCTCCAAGGCGAAATACTTAGGTAGTATCCTTGACTCTAAGCTTACGTGCAGGCGCAATGCAGAGGAATGAGCAAAAAGAATGGTATAGAGGCGTGCTATACCTGTAAAAGGACTTTCGGGGAAAACTGGGCTCGGTCACCGCATATCATTCAAGCCAATTCCCAGCTCTCCAGACAAGACGTATAACTGAAAAGAACCGACTGCAGTTCTTAGGAGATATTTCCAGATTAGAATACACGCAGCTAGGCTGGGCGCACCCTGAAAAGACGACTGCAGGAGTTTAATAGACGATGATGAGGTGGAAACCATGCAACACCATCTCTGTCATTTTCCCCCACTAGCAAACCGCACTAGATATTAGAGTAACTGTAAGACTTAGTGTGAAAGACTTTGGAGACTGCAGCCAACCTAACATAACCTAACCCACTGCACTCAAAGAATTAAGAAGTTAAGCTAAGTTTAACTAATCTCCCTTAGGTTATCGTTGTAAATCGAAATAGACTGTATTTGTACATTTACTGAATGTGATTGTCAGCGATACAAAATGATAACATAATGCCGTTTTTATAAATTTTTTCTGCAGGGTATGTGGCGGTACATTCGGATAACATTTAAGAGATAGCATAACGATGCTTAATCAGTTGGAAGAAATAGCGGTTTCGTAAGAGGGAGAAGAAAACAAAAAAAAAAATATATGTAGGTAATTAAAATTATTGAATAATATTACCTAAGTATTGTGAGTATTGAAGCAACTTTTTATGTTAATTAAGAATCAAACAACTATCAAGAACATTTCTAGACTTTAGTAAATACTCACTGTTATTCTTTGCAGACAGATTGGAAAATTATACCCTACAAGACAGCTGAGTATCATATGAGTACTCATATTATCATTATCCCTAATCACAAAAGTGCTTATCAAAGTCCTCATTTTCGCTCAGGCCATGGGAAAAAATTGAGTACTTTCCCCTCAATGTTGTCATCAAAAAGTCCTCAGTACTAATAGTCAAACTACTCATTTATGCCGTACTACAATTGTAGGGTACCTATGCATACATACACACATATTTGTACATAAATATATTTATGCATATAGACCTGTGAATATGTATTCCTCTATCAATTCTGGGTGCTCCTTATTAAAGGCTAAACGATGGAATGTCACGTGTATGTATGTATGCATGTAATATATATATGTTGATACATATGTGAGACATTCTTTTTCATATCGGATACCAAATTTGGTGTCACACTTTCGATTGGCTTAAAATTTTTTTTTATGGGTTCTGTACATGAAATAAGCTCACGTGTTCGAGGAATTTTTTGTTTTCTTTTTTTTTCTGCGGAAATATGATCTGTCAAAGTTTCATATTTTCGGGATTCTGACTAATCATGTACTTCTTCAAATCGTTATATCTCGGGTTCTGCTCATCGTAGCGACTACATCTTAACGTCGTTTTAAAGCTAAAGAAATGGGCTTGACATTTCTATATATGAATAATGGTCAAGATTTTCCTAAAGCTAACTTAGCTATTAACAGTTGAACTTTTTGGAGTTGATTTACATAGTGAAGACCATTAAATTAGGGATTTAAAATTATACCATCGTAATCCTTGTTTAATTCTCTATAAAAAACGTGGTTAAAAAATGGGCGTTTTTCAAGAACTATTTTTAAAATATTTTTCTTATACGAGATGGTTTTTTTGTGAGAATCAAAAAATTTTTGCAATTTTTATACCCGAGCACACGTGTGCACAATTACACGTGCTTCCCGTATAACGATAAATTTCAGAAATACGAGAACTCCGCTATTTCAATAACTGACGACGCTCATTTAATTTAGTTAATAGTTACAACAGTCTCCATCTCTGGTTAACACTAATCCCCAGTTAAACATTGTTACCGACATCCCTACTTGGCATGCAAAGGTAGTTCAGAGAAAGTTGGAACGACGATATTTGATACCTGCGCCGGGTATATAAAGTTCGGTTACGCCCGAACTTATACTTCTTTACTTGTTTTGCAAAAAGTAAAAATTTACTGCGGGTTTCGATAGAATACCTATCCAGATATAATATTTGTATGGCAAGATTTTTCTTTAAGGCGAAAAACCCCTAGAAATGGGCGTGGCAATTGCAGGACCAAAATTAACAAAACGCGGATTTTATTGCGGATTTCGACAGAGTATCGCTTCGTTAACAACATTTGTTTAACAATTTTGAAGCAAATCGGAGGCATGACATATTTTTTTACGAAATCCGTCCGACTTAAAAAAGAATGGCTCATGTATGAAATCGCACCAAAAAAAAAACAAAAACAAGAATTGATTCCAAAACAAGTCAAGGTGCACCACCCTGCTCACACGTGCTTCCAAATCTAATGGGACAACACCGATCGAGCGAAATTAGCCGGTGAATCAACAAACTTTTTTAATAAATAAGGTACGTTTCATAGCTATAGCACACCAGCTTATCTGATCTTGAATCGCTAAGAAAAAAAATACTAAGCACCTTATAAATCCAAACTGAAAACCAAATCCCTCTTCTAGTCATACTATTTTCAAACAGTTATCGCCCACATTAAAATAATGCCGTTATAAAACATAATGATACCCCCTTGCGGTGCAGTAATTTTCGTTCCATAACTATAGCTTATATGCGCTTTAACTAAAAAGTAACTAACTTGAATAAGATGGATAAGCAACAAGAGTTGACGAGGTGTGCTTAACTCAATGCTTACTTTACTCATCGGTGATGCGGGTTCGATTCCTGCTGAAGTCTAGAGGAAATGTAGTGAAATAGCAACTATAACTTCTACCGTTTAAACTTAGTTATATATTCTAGTTTTCCTAACAAACAAATAGTGATTCAAAACTAAATAACATTGTTAAAAAAAATTTCCCGTTATTTGTGCTGTATATGGTATTATAGGAACTATGAAATGCTGGAAGTCGTATCGTAAATATTTTTGTTTTGAACGTCGAGGATATAGCCGTAAAAGGCCAAAATAGCACCAAAGTTTAAAAATTCGGACCTAATTGTCATTTAATTTGCAGCTGTGCAGAACCTGAAAGTACCCAGTTAGTACAGTTGGGAGAGATTAAATAGACGATAAGCTAATTTTCTGTCAAACATTTTTATTAAGTCCTTAATTTATAAAAGATCAAAAAATTTGCGAAAAAGCGTTTTAACAGATTAAAAGTAATTGTTTGATTCCTTTCACATTCATTACTTTTTTGCTAGTTAGATTATATTTTTGGGCTGCATGGTTGGTTGCGTTTCATTAGATGTGGGTCTGTTTCTTATTTTAGGCAGCAGAAGTACGTTATTTTGGACACTTTAATGTTCACAACAGCTCTCAAAGCTTTGAACATTATAGCCGAAGTTTTAAAATTTTTTTAATTTTACTGCTATGAATTTGATGGTTTGGTTCGTAACTCTCCATTTATGTCTATTCTTTCAAATTCTACAAGAAAATATAGACCTTTTACTTTTGATATTACTTTCTTCCAAATATTTTAGTTTCGAAACTGATTATATTTACATGCATATATTCATTTAATGTGCAATTGTGTGTGCTATAGCAATGAAACGAAAGTTACGGTACCAGAATGAGGGTATTTTTATGTTTTATAATGACCAGGGAACGGATTTCATGGAAATTGCCTTTTTTCTGTTAAAGAGGTAGAGTATATTTGATTAAAAATGTCCACGAGTTAGCTTTCCCTGATTCCATATATACTTATTTGATGTTGCCTTTTTTAAGATATTTGCCTTTTCTACCTTTAATTGTAAAAGGTAAGGAAAATATACTTATTCCAGATAGTATAAAAGTTTTAAACGTTCCATATTTAAATTGGGCGTCACTTGTGTATCAACTCACGTCGAGCGCACGCTTAGTACACTCAAGGCTTTTCTTCGCGAAAATCTAATGAAAATGCTGCCAGAAAACTTCAAAATGCATATTGTGGTTCAATGTTACTGCAACTATCGAGATTAAAGTTTATTATTTTCAAATAATGAAATTAGTTCATAGCTTTTCTCTTTTCACTTGTAAAATAAACATTTCTAAAATAAATGTATTTTTTGATTATTTTTCGGTTTTTGTCTTTTTTTAGTTCCTTCTTTTGCCATTTTTGCGATGACTAGTGGCTTTTCCTGCCTATTTCGCTATTTATTTTTGCCTTTTCTAGGCTATTTCGTTATTTTATTTTGCCTTTTTTATAGGTTTTTAGGTCGACGGGGTCGGTTTGAAAACAGTCTAATTTGAAGATTGCACGGAAAGACGGGTTTCAGGTTGAATTTATAAGAAGCTGACTATGTAGACTTTTTGTGCAGATAGAAAAACAGTTTAATTGGTGTGCTATAGTTATGAAACGTACTATACATATATACATATATGTAGTTTGAGCTTTGAGTGCGAACTTGAGCACCGTGCCTTTGCGCTGATTGGCCGAATTACGAAGGTGTGTGAGTTATGTTTTCCGTGACATCAAAACTCATACACATGCGTAGGTATGTACATGAATATTTATAAAATTTAACAGCACTTGCATACATGCAACATCAAAAACAGTGAATAGGATGCGATAAACGTGTTTACGTATACAAATACATACATACGAACATTCTTGTCCTGAAGTTGTTTATCAGTTTATGGGATGAGCAAGGAGGAGGTAGAGAATATCTTTTTAGAGCAGTACCAACTTTCATAATTTTCGTCGTCTCATATGTACATACTACATATCAACCCTAACCGCCAAAGAAACATTAGCGAGATTTTTTCAGTTTTTTTTTTATGCAAAAATGCTCCTAGAGCATCTAGCTAGACACATTTCTGCTCCGAAAAAAAAATAGTTTGAACAATGCCGTTTAAGTTTTTTTGGCGGTTAGAGCTAAATATGTATGTGTGTGCAGTATACCATGCATTATGGATCAACAATTTAACAGTCCTACGAATACTTACATATGAATTTACATATACATACATATGTACTACATTAACTTACAGTTATGGATGATCACCTCACGTAACTTCTGCGTAATATGATATCTACGTTATTAACATACTTGTCTATCGCACTAATGCGCTTTTGATTAGTTTGACGTATTAAAAATGTCTCGGATTCTAGCCAGGTGTCGCAAAACGGGGAATTTGTGAATGTGAATGTACTTGTCAGCAAAACCTGAAAATTTCAAGCCAATTTGATGACATATTTTTGTTGAATTCAAGGCGAATTTATATAAGGTAGTGTTACTAGCTCAGCTGATTTAGTGCATGGTACAATAAAAACAGGTAGAAGCCAAATTGACATCAAACCTACAAAAGTCAAAGTTTTCGGGAGAGTAAAAATAAAAATGAGCGTGTGTAAGGAAAAATAAAAAATTACANAAAAAAAAAACAACGATATGACATTCAAAGCGTAACGAAATATAGGAAATAAAAGAAAAACAAGTTGAAGTTTAAAGGTTTGGTTCTCATGAGAGCAACGTCATTTTGGCTTCTACCTGTATTTATGTGCCTTGGATTTAGTGTATGTTTTTCGCCGCATGGCTTCTGATATCAAATTGAAAATTTTTATTTGAATTTCTACACACACTTACAGATTTTGACAGTTTATGCCGCCAAAGCAAGAACAAAATACATGTAGATTTTTGTTTTTGTACTCCTGCTATCACCTTATATTAATTCGCCTTGGTTGAATTCATGCAGAAAGAAAAGAAAGCGAATTGATATAAACGTGGTAAAAATCTCCATGCCATGCAATTTTCGATACGACTCGACTCTCACAGATGAAACTGAAGAAGAAGATGAAGGCAAAGATGATGATGAAGACGAAGATAAGAGATGAAAATGGAATTGAAGATGAAAGTAAGTGAAGACACGAAAATGTAGATGAAGATGAATATGGTGTAGCTGACGATGATACATAGTGAAGATAAACATAAAGACGAATTTGAAAAGAAATATGAGGGGAAAGAGAAACATGGAGATAAAGATAAAAAAGAAAAAAGGATAAAGATGAAGATTAGGATTAAGATTAAGATAAAGACTAAAATTACGTAGAGGGTAGAGTACAACGCTCGGTGTTTGCGTTGCACCCATCCCGGCTAGTTCTACATTTGAAGGAGGACTTCCCTTATCAGGGAATGGTGGGAGTGATCACAACTGCTGTGTGCCTTCGTTTGGGGACTAAATGAAGTCAACACTAAAGTTAGTCGCAACTAACTTTATAATCGACTTTATTTCGCCTATGAATAATTGGGGCGTATTGTATGTATTCGAACGACCTCGAGGCTGATTATCGAATTTTTCCGAGCTGTGGGAAATTTTCGAGTTGCCGCTTATCCGTAAAATTTCGCATTAAAAAAATAAAATCCAAAAATTATCGATGTAAACTCGGTACCGTCTCTGGTATAATTTTCCGAAATTGCAAAATCCTATTTCGAATCTTAAATAGAATTTCATTAGAAATTATTTTATATTGATCTTTACTACAATTTTCATGACACTGAGAAGGCAACACGAATGACACAGAATTGATTTTGAGTACTCACCTATTGTTAATGGTATCATCGGCTTTTCGGGATTCGGCTTGATCTGTAGTGATTCCACAATGGCGCGAATGCGATTATGTGAGAGAGAGGAGATTTTTGAAGCTTTGATATTCCAACCCTTCCGTACATTTTGCTTTAATTTGAGGTCACCGCTGTTGTTGTTGTGGACTTTGATTAAGGTATCGTTAGCACTTTTAGTCAACGAAATATTATCCTCTAAACCACTTGACGGCATTATCACACACAAAGGTATGGACAAATGCAAATATATTTATTTTATTTAAATGATAGTTTTAGTTAACTTTTTCACATACATGAAATTATTGTCGTTTTTTTTATTGAAAAATACTTTTTCCACTAACAGTTCTGACCAAAAAGAATTTCGTTTCACACTTTGGAAGCGGTTTTTGTAAGCTTCATAATTATTGTACTCACAATTAGTTCAGAAATTTATTTAGATATATCTATATATATTCTTTTAATGCAGCAATTCAGTATTACATTTTTTTAGTCCTTGCACATCAACTAAAGTTCTCTGTGAGACTGTCACAGTTGTAATTCTGTTATATAACACATTTGAGGGGACTTGTATTTTATCTGTTGCTTACGATTTTCATATTCATAAATTGCATCGGAATACAACTGTATGCAAAAAAAATAAAAAAATCTGCGCTAAGCTGCCCTTACTGTTGTGGCTTTCTCGCTATTGCTTCTAACTGATCAACAGTTAGTTGTTAGTTAAATTCTAGCCTGAATTAAACTGATCTACTTGTTTGGTTAGGTTGTGCTTTTAAAGGAAAATATTAAAATAAATACAAATTAAAATATCTACTTTTGTTGTTGTAGAGGCACCACCAATCAAGCGTTTGTGTGCATGTACTACATACAAACGTATTTACACCTGTGCTGCTCGTTAAGCAGGCTACAATAATAACACCATAACTCTGTTGACACATTCACACCATCCCCACCAACACTAACAAAAATCCAACCACCAACTTAGCGGCCCACAGCACAGTGGTTTGAAACTGGAGTTTAGTGTTCACAATTCTCCAGAGCCTTGATTTTTAAAAAAATTTTATATTTTTTTTAGTGAAAGCCTTTATAATTTACAAGAGACCTGTTGAACCCGATTTTTGAATGTTTATTTATTTACTAGCAAATACCTGGCGTGCTTCACTGTGCCTTAAAAGTATTTTTGTGCTGTTACTCCCCCTCAAAACTCTATATGGCTCCATTCATAAAAAAATCATATTTAGTAGATTTGAAGAGCTACATATATGAAGTGAGATTTTCAAACAAATTTTCGATTTTTTTTTTTTGCTTTATCTTTTAGGAATAAGTTTGCTAGTGAATATACTTTCGAAGGTATTTAATCCTCGAAGCTTAATTTATACACTTATAACTCGATTCTACATATCGTACACTTTCTTCAAAGGTGTATTAATTCAGTATTTACTATCGCTACAAAAATATTTTCGGCTGTAAACTTTCTCATACCATTTTAGTTTGATACTCGTATTGTGATATTTCATTTATTTTATTAATTCAATAATTGAATAAAATTTTTCAAACAGGTGCCAACCCTGCTCAAAAATATTTTTGTCACTAAACTTTCCTAAACCTCGGTAGTTTGATACCCATTTATTGCCACATTTATCTTATCAATTAAATCAAATTAAAATTTTAAAACACAAAAGTATTTTCGACTTTATAAAGAAAAAATAAAATCCACACGAGCTCTTAGCCTCTTGAAACTTGCATTTTATGATACTAAAATTAAAGAGCTATAATATTGCATACTTTAAATTCGTTTAACAATTCAAAAAACAAATTTTAATTTTCTTAACAAATTCTTTTGGGCTCAACAGGTCTCTTGTAAATTTTATAGGCTTTCATTAAAAAAAAAATCAAATTGGTTGAAAAATGAAGGCTCCGGAGGATTGTGAACAGTAGATTCCAGTTTCAAACCACTGTACACCAGCCAGTCAGCCAAACAACAAACCAATCGGCCAGTAAGCCGGACTTCTCATATGGCTGATTAGAATACTCGTCCGTTACATGTTATTGTAGCGCCGCATTTTCAAAATATGCCAATATTTACTCGCATTTTGTTATCGTACAAGTATTTGAATATGCATATTTGCAAAAATATCGCTTAACATTCGTATTAAGTTCAGATCGAACAGAACATTGTGTGTGCGCGTACGATCGTTACCGATGCCATCCATTCGAATATGTAAACTGCAAAATCACGCTGGTTTAAAACCAGACGAAGTCGAATTTTAAAAAAGTTAATAAGAAATAACACGATAATAATTTGTGTAAATCATGCGCAGCGTTCGTCTTCGTTAAACGCCCCACCTGTGCCGCTACTCTTTTTCTGATTTTCTGATAAAACATTCGAGCCGCATTCCCGCCTGACAGTATTTAAAGCCTATTCGCACTCAGCCCACTCTTTTCTTCTTTCTAAAAATACGTCTCTCTTTCCTACCTTTTTACCGGCCGGCATCGCTCAAAATTTCGCGCGCGTCGGAATTGGCCTCAGGGTAGCTTGGAATGATGCGTATTTCTCTAAAATTTAGTGTATGCACATAAGTAATGTACATGTGTAACAACACCATTGCCGGTTTCATTAAACGCTTGCAATTTTATAACTCTTCATCCATTGGTAATAATGTTAATAAAAGAATGTTTAGTTATTAATTTGTAAATATTTTTAATTGTAAACCAATTTAGTTAAGACAAATATTGAAATCAATGTTACAAGTAATACCGTTATTACGTACTAATACAGCTAAGTTTATGTTTGTTTTCGTATATTTTAGACTGGTATTTAGCAGAGCTGCAGCATATGCACTACAATAGCAGTGACCAATCTGAGTTTTAAAAAACTGCATTTGTGTTTAGGAAAAATGCAGTTTAACTTACATAATGCATCCATATATATGTACATGTGTAAGAAAGTATATCTCAATAGTATATCTAACTATGAATATGTGTATATAGTAAAAAAGTAAGCTGCTGAAGCTCTCCTACCACGTAAGAACGTTAGGCTTCGCATTGTTGATTCGCACAAACATACGTACATACATATGTAAAAAAGTAAGCATGCACAAACATACATATAAGATATGTAAACAGATTAAACTAATTTTACAATAACTAAAAAAAATACGAAAATATTAAAATTAAATACATATGAACAAATCAGAATACTTATAACTACAATAGTGGAAGTGCTTTCACTTCTATCTTAATGAAATCGGTATGCTGTCACTGACATCCTATTTACGCTTGAACATGTTGCTGAGGCGCCGTTTTGGTGGAGAATTCTGAAATAGATAATTCGCAGGATAAGATAGTTTTAGTAGATATTCATATAAATAACGATAATATGCCTTGCACACTGAGAACGAGTTAACTAAATATGTTTCTCTCGACACGTGATTTGGTTATAGTTACACGATTTGCTTACAATTACCAAATCTTGTGTTGAGAGAAATATATTTAGCCGACTTTTTTTCGAGTGCAGATCAAACAAAAACAAAAAAAACCGTGGACCGCAAATAATGATTATTTTCACATTTCATCATAAAAAAATCATGTGGAAAGAGAAACGCTGCGTGCATACGGGGTAAAACAACATACTACTTTCTCCTTATTACTCAGACCACCCTCAACGGCACGGATTTTTACGTTTTATTCAAAAAATTTGGTTCAATTGTTTTTTGAGATTCATTCATTGCTTGAAAAATATTCGTCATTTTCATTTTTTAGTACCAGGTTGGCCGAGCCTTGCCCGGAGTGCACATACTTTTTAAAATTTTCAAGATTTGGATAGCTTTAAAAAAATATTTTGGAAAAAAATTGGATTTCGATATCTATTAAGTAAATTTCTTACTCCAAAATATTGGTGGCAACCCTATTCCGAAATACGCTGGATGAATGGTACATTTCTTGATCGTATAAGTACTGTGTATACATAAAAAAATGCTGATTGAAATTAACAAAATACAAATTTTTATTACATAGAAGCGTGGCAACCCTGATGGAAAATATTTTCTGACCAAAGTTCTCAACAATACCTTTCATTTGATATCTATATTGCGATGTTTTAGATAAATTGTGCAGAATCAAAAATAAGTGGCAACCTTACACTATTATCCCAAGGGAAAACATTTTGTATATAGGGAAAGCATTATTTAAGAACCTTCTCTTGGTACCCATGAATAGTAATATTTTACCTTTTTTCTGAGCAAAAAATTAAATAAATATGTCGCTCAAAATAGGTGGCAACCCTATTAAAATATTTTTGAATTAGGGATCTTTAAAATACCTTCCATTTGATACTCATATTCTGATGTTTTAATTAATTTGTAACTAATTTCGAATAGGTGGCAACCTTATGCGAGTCTTCTCGGAGATAACTGCCTATTCAGATAACCTTAAAATCCAAAACATTATCTGTGTACAAAATTTCATCAAAATCGTTAGAGCCGTTTCCGAGAACCCTATGGATATACGTATGGGTGTTTCCATGAAAATGTAAACCGAAAATGCAATGCAGTAAACGGCTTTATAACTTTAAATTTCGTATTCAGATGGCGGAAAAAGGTTTTGAAAACGCGAAACGGTGGAGGAAAATTTGAAAAAATTAGATTAAAAATTTAATTTAGTATTTATTACTAGTAATAATATTGTATGGGGGAAAAATCTGTCGCGTACGTTATGTTTTTTTTTTTTTTAATAAAACTATAGAGATAATTTCTATTAAAAAATGGAAGGATTGTAAAGGTACATTATTTAGCTTAGTTTAGCAATTTTTAAAGAAAAGAAAAACTCCCGTGATTCGCAGACTTTCGCATATATGTAGATGTGCCTTAAAACCATTTCTCTTTTTTTCGCGGATATTTTCCATATTTTTTGAACGGATATTTTCCACACCAAAGTTTCGAGGCTGCTTATTTTTTTCTCAAACATAGTACCCTTTGGTTGCAACATAACAGTAATCTAGTTTTTCAGTAACTTCTATTTTTGAGAGATTTATGCTACTCCATAAGCGTACGAATGTCGCGTACGGCTGCATGGGAACACCCATATGTATGTATATATATACAAGAATTGCTCGTTTAATGTAATAAAATTACAAGTTTTTATTTAACTTGCAGGATCTAGCATAAACACAACCAATAATGTCAGCGTGGAGGTCAAGCGGGGAATAACTCTTGCCTACAAGTGCAACTTTGAGCTCGGTTAGCAATGAAAAAGCAGAGCACTCTCTCGACGGAAAAGAAGATAAAATGACGAACTGTGCGAGCTCTACAAAGAGAGGAACATAGAGAAGTGCATTAAGATTCAACGCATATGATGGTTGGGATATATCCCACGAATGGATGTTGATGATGCTCGACACCGATAGATGGACAACGAAGCAAGGGAAAAATCTGTATAAATCTCGTGTGAACCATTGGTGAAGTTTTTCGGTCTTGACTCAAACCGATTTTTTACGGCGAAATTTGGCGATTTACAATGAATTGGTGAATGTAAATGTAATATGTATTTCGAAAGTAGGTCGACACAGTTTTGGAGATTCTGAAAATAGTAGAAGAATATCAGATCTTTTTTCGTTTGAAGATTTATTACAAGGCGAACTTATAGTTGCGATCCCGTACGAGTCCGGACTAGTCAGAAATAGTCAGAATCAGTCAGATTTTACTGGAAATCGATCCCGTACTCGGTTCTCTGACTATTGAGAGGACAAAAATGAGAGTAAATACTCTCTCTGTCAGAAGTTACCAGTTTTAGTCCGAGAATTTTTTGCTGGTAAATTCTGGTAAATGTGTCAAACGATCAGCTGTAGTGTGTTTGGCAACCAAATTGTAAACAAACAAAAAAGTGCACTCTGCTAATTCACGTTGAAAACTATTTAATTACTTGTTTAAGTGGATTCTAATGAATTTGAAAGTATTTTTGGTTATTTACATGCGTGAGCTGAGTGTGTTTACATACAAAATAAGCAAAAATTTACAACAAAAATTTGGAGGTTATGTTGAAGTTGACAGAAGTTACCATTTTTTATTAGAAAGCGATCCCGTACTTTTCAATGTTACTCTCTCGCTCTGAGCGAAGTTTTATTTTTTGACAGTTTTACTAGTCCGAGTCCGAGGAATACGGGATTGCACCTTATATAAGGTGGTGTTACTGGATCAGCTGATTTTGTGCATGTGTTTCGCCTCACGGCTTATAATGTCAAATTTAAATATTTTATTTGAACTTCCATTTTTAAATTTTTGCATTTGTTCTCCTGTTATCATATATTAATTTCACCTTGGTTTATTCTATTACTGCACGATTTCTTATTTGAGCCACTGTAAGTTATTGTGATAAGCTCTTTTCATTATTTCAATTATACCGGATTTCCACTATGTATTAAATGACGACAATATAATGTCAAAAGTTTGGGCATTGAGCCTCAAGTTAAAATATTAGTCATTACATATCGCATTTTTTAAATGACATGAATTAGTAGTGGAAATTAGCATTAGTTCTCAAACACTTAGAGTTCTATAAATTTTCCCCAAGAGCAAACGTCAAAAATAAAAAAAGGTGTGAGTACCAGGTACTCATAAAATTTATGTGTTATCATCTGTGTCCTGAACTAATCACGAAATGAACCCTAAAAAGTCTCGAACTAGCCACGAAAAGGTCTCTTTGCCCATATGTGAAGCAAAGATGTTTACACATCAAAAATAATTTGCGGTAGAATAAATACCTTCCTGTTTAGACGCCCATGTGGCGCCTTTTTCCAAATAAGAATGAACATATCTGCAAGTTTGCACATTTATTGAAGACTATTAATTTTTAGAAATACATAGCGATTTTGCAAAAAGCAAATTGACAAATTTCTAATTATTCACATTGATCAAACAGATATTAAACAAAAAAAAAAAAACGAAGCGATCTGCAAAGATTTTCGCTCTCATCAGAGCAAAAAGATGCACACACAAATTTCATTGTAACGCAATTCACAACTGAATTGATTCAAACAATTTTTATACAAACATAAATTTACAATACTCTTACAGTAAGTTTTCTCGCAGTGGCATTAAGCCGTTAATAAATTTTCGTAGCGATCGAAGTGGCATAACATTAAGCGGTTACACAAACAGCAGCGACTACATATCACACATTGAACTTGGCGTTGAATGGATGTCATGGAAAGAATCATCTAAATCTAAATTTCCAATTTTTTGAGGAACACACAAAAAGTTTGCTTTTTTACGCATATTGCGACAAGACTAAGTAGATGACAGCAATTATGGGCGCAAATACCGCTAAGATGACTGTCAACTGTAATTGCTGATCCATACGCATCCAGATGCTGGACCAAAGACGCACTACATCCGCTAGCGTAATCTGCATTTCTTTATCATCAACCTCCAGCTTCTTTAGTACCAGGATGGGCGGCGGCGGAGTTGCTTTGATTTCCAAGTCAGCAGCCAGTGTAAACTTTGTACCGCGCTGTGGCAACAATGTATACGTAACTGACTGCCTCTTTTCCTCCGCCGTTCGTTGCGAGTGTCGAGTCGGTGTGGGCACAATATCGAATTCAATGTTTGTCACAGTAAACGGCGCTGCTGATGCAGTATGCGCCGCCAGTTCCTCGAAGTGTTTGCAGCGAGCATCGAATTGTTCGATTTCATCAACAGTTGACGGCTCGTCTACCGCCTCATGCTCCAGGCTGCGCTGCACCGGCAGTGACGTATTTAGCCTGGAGGAATTACTTTCGTCATTAGCATCGCTTTCATTGTTGCTGTTTGTTGTAGTTTCAGCATCGCTTTCTTCGGAATTCTCGCAATCGTTTTGTGTCCTTATCTCGCCCAACGGCAATTGTGTTACATTCGAGTCGTAGGCATGGTCTGCTGATATATTGGTTTCATGACAATTTCCGGATATTGTTTTCGTTTCAGCACTAGTCTCTTCGATAATTTCCGATGTGCCGGTAATTATTTCACTAAAGTAATTCGATGTATACTCGGGTATATCATACTCTTCGGGATGTTCGCACTTCTTCGACAAAACTATCGTCGCATTTAGCCGGTATGCATGGCTGTTGTTGTTGTCCTCACTTTCGCGCGCACTATCGAAACCTTGGCCACCTTGCAGCTGATTGTCCATCTGTATACCGCGCCCTCGATTGAAATTGTCTCGTCGCTGCTTGTGCGCCTTTTTGCGTATTTGCTCCCGCAATTTGGTGCGATTTGGCGTACGAATGCTGCTGCCACAGGCATACAGCGACAGCCGGGGCCCACGGTCTCGCTTGTGTCGACGACGATGACGACCACCAACACCACTGCTGCGCCTCAGCGCATCGCCTGAGCTGGCAGTAGTGGTGGTGGTGGCGGTGGCCGAAGTCGCCGATGTGGTAGTGCCGGTGGTGCTTGTGGCGGCGCCTTCCTGCAAAGGCATCTGCTGCTGCTGCTGCATTTTCCTATTCTTCGAAGGTGTGTGTGGCGTTCTGGTGGATGGCGTTTCCGATGAAAGTGGACTGCCGGCTGGCAAATGCTTCAATCGACGACCGATTTGTAGTCGTAGCAACGAGCTACGCCTTTTGCGTGCCACCCGCTGTTGTTCCAGCATTTTCAAGTGTGATTGTGATGCGCCGAAGTCTCGTATCGCCGAGACGTCCGCCAAAGAGAGTATTGCTGGTGGTGTCTTCGTATTTTCAATATTCGCCGTTGGACACTTCTCGACGGTCAATGAGAGCATTGATGGGCCGGATAGCGCCATTAACTGATCGAACAAGCAACGTTTGTCGAAATGAGATGTGCTTTTACGCGGCGTGGAGGTGCAAATGTTTTCAGGACTTTTCAGGCACATCGCTTCAAAGTTTTTCTGCTGCACCGCTTTTAAGAGATCCATAGGTATTTTTAAAGTCTGTTGAAGTTAACCGTAACCAAATGATTGTCATTGTTGTTCAAGTATTATACATATATACGAGTAATTGATGTATTTCATATGAATAGGAAGTGAAAAGAGTTAGAATCAGTATTAGATTATCAAAGCGGCATAATTGTTACGTTTAAAACACGATCACAAAAACAATTTCGTAACAAAGAAGCTCCAACATAAATACCAACGGTTACGAATACAGCACAACAATGACAACAATGCAGCAACAACAACAACAACAAGAACTATCATAAACACCAAACACGAAACAAAATATGCTTGAGGTCTATGCACTTTTAATTCATTAATGGCGATTTCGTTTCTTTCAAAAAATGTTGCTCTTCCACGGTGCAAAATCGTTTGATGTTAAAAGGGCATGTTTTTGCCTTCTTGTCCTTGTTTAGCTAACCAAAGCTCCAAAGGGTAAAGAATGTGCCTTTTTTGCCTTACAAGAGTGGGATATCTTAAGAAACGAACACAAAATTTTCTCACCGTTCGTCTCTATTTTAGAATCGAACACGAAAAGAGAAAGAGGCAATCAATTTGTGTTTCTTTGGTTGGTTTTCGGACTGTTGGGAATTTCAAACATTCAAATTTTAACCAATAAATATGTACTATTAGCTGTTGATTGATATGTGTAATTTAACGGTATTGTGTTCGCTGTCGCTCAAGTCTTAAATTTATAATTTTGTGCGATTTGACGTTTAGTTTCGGACACGAAAATGGGTTATTTACTTATTTATTTATTTGTGTTTCAAAATTGAATAAAAAATATATGCAGTAAAAGTGGAAAGCGACTATGGGTTGTTAAAAAATGGACAAAAAAAAACAATATTAAAACAGTTTTCATTCGCTTTTTTCATAGGCGAAATATTATACTCAATTGTATCCATAAATGTCTATGTTAATTTCATTCCAATAACCAGCAATTTATGACCAATATTTGCCTTAAAGTTTTCATGTGTACTTTATGGCTTCTTATTTGGCACTAAATTTGTTTGTCGGCTCTGGCCAAAGCTAATAAACTCCGGCAATTGCCACTCTCCTTAGCGAAGTTTAACGTTAATAATATATTAATTATACATAAAACTTTGCACCCATAGATACATACATACGTACAACACAAATTACATACATAACAGTACCATGTACAAAAAAAAAATACTTAACATATAGAAATACTCAAAATGGAATTCAAATTTTGAAAAGAAGAAAAACAACATTAAACAGCACCAATTGAAACTCACCTCATCTCTCGAATTGCTATTGCCCATACTAAATTTAGAAGTAAAGAAGCCAAAACGCACCGGTGTCTTCGCTGTGCTGCCATGATCATAAACTTCTTTGAGTATTTCACGTGGCGGCTCTGAACTGCCCAACGAAAGGCGGCCACCATGTTTGCCGGGCGTTGGCGGACCAGGACGCTTGTAATTCGTGATGCCAGTGAGTTTTTTCCGCGCGCCACCACCGACCGTTGTGCTAAGCAATGCACTCATACTGTCATCCAAGCTGTTGGGACCATCCTATAGCAGAGTAAACAGAAAAAATGGAAATATATTTTTAATTAAATTCAATTTAAAACGAGTAATTGCACAATTTTTTTTTTTTGTCAGCCAGCATGCATCGAACGCCATTGACAAGAAACATTTAAACAACAAGTGTACATTTTTTTTGAACATCGGTAAACATTTAGAGAGCAGGACAATGCATTAAACACAAATACATATTTACAACAATTACAAACACACAAAGGACAATGACATCCAAGAATTTCTAATTTCGGTTGCATTAATTTGGTTGTATACTATACATCAGGTGATAAGAGAAATTTATTATATGTATACTCGAAATAAAGCCTTACATATGTAAAACGAACAGTTTTAAAAGCGCAGTTTTTATCACAAAAACATATCTTCAGAGTGCTTCTTCTCACTTCGCATTACGCTCACTTTCTGCAAGTACATTTCTATATGATTTTTTACATAGTTGTCTTTTTTGTACATATCTANTTATATGTATACTCGAAATAAAGCCTTACATATGTAAAACGAACAGTTTTTATCACGAAAACATATCTTCAGAGTGCTTCTTCTCACTTCGCATTACGCTCACTTTCTGCAAGTACATTTCTATATGATTTTTTACATAGTTGTCTTTTTTGTACATATCTACATAAATGCATCAAAGGTACATTTTGGTCAATTTTAATTTTTTTTTTTTTAGGTTTACGCTTTCTTTGTTTAAAGCGCTCGATTGCTTATTTATCTACATATTTGCAATTATTTTGCATCGTCCGCTTGATAGATTTCATTTTAAATTTTTTGTTTTATAGCAGTGCAAAATTCTGGAAATACTAGGATGCGATACTCGTTTTGATGTTATCACTATTGTTTCTCCCTCTGAGGGTGTTGTGTCTTGAATCGGCATCATACTTGTGCTGCTGGTGCTTACTTTCAATTCATCTTCGGGTAAACCGTGGTCATATTGAGCTGCATAGGTGCTTTTCAGATGCGGTGGCAATAAAGAATTTCGATATTGCAATTCCTCAGCGCTGGAAATAGCGAAACAGACAAAAGCTGTAAGTTTATTGCAGAAGTAAGTAAGAGAGGAGAAAAGCTGGCAAAGTATAAAATCTATACAGATACAGGTGTGCTTAACTTAGATCAGTGACCTTTTGGTATATTTGGCAATTTTTCTTTAATGTTCTAGCTCGTTTTTACAACCTCTATATAAATCCACATTTCAAAGTTTTTACAAAAATTATAAAATATCAACAAGCTCTCATCGAAATTTATTTAGAAAAATTGGTACGTTGTGGTAAATTTTGATATAATGAAATGCAAGTTTCAAGTGGCTGGAAAATACCGTTAAAATTTTTTATATATATTCCATACTTGAAATTTTGTTAAAAGTTCTGAATAAGAAGTTTGAAATTTTCGCGAAAATTTGTTGAATTAAATTCAATGAATTTTTACATTTTTTGCACAAAGTTTGAAATTCGGAATTATATGATTTTTGTTAGATAATGCACTTTTTTACTTTTATACTAAAAATGTATATACAATAAAGAAACAAAAGAAAAATAGTCAAAATATCGCACTTAAATTATATTTGGTGGACTACTATACACTAGGCGACAAATGAAAGTGTTTCCCCTGGTTCTAGTATAATATTCACAATTATTTTAATGAAAAATTGTTTGCGTTATTTATTTATGAAAATATAGTTCATTTTGTAATATAGACTATATAAATCAAAGTGTCATTATATAAGATTCAAAAAAATTTCATACAAATTTTCAACCTCTTATACAGAATTTCTCGAAAATTTTCGAATAGGTATGTAGTTTTGTAGCCCATTTAATGTTAGCGTGATGAAGTGCAAGTTGCAGCCGGCTACAAAATAGCGTTGATTTTTGACCATTTTGTTCAGGAGACAGATTTTTGCACTTTTTTCCATATAAGCATGAATTTCTTATGAAATAAAATGTGGGAGACCGTTAGCAACAAACTTTCAAAAAATTAACGCCAGTTATTGTTATACTCACTTGTCCTATACAAAAAAAAAAACCCCAAAAGCAGTCTCCGAAAAAAAAATTCTCAAAAATAAGTGGAAAATTTGGATGAAATTTTTCGGAATTTTTGTGAACTTTATATAAAGTATGAAACCTTGAAGTTATATGGTTTATATTATAGAATGAACTATATTTTCGTAAATAAATAAGGCAAAAATTGTTCATAAAAATTATTACGAATATTATATTAGACCAAGGTGTAAACTTTCATTTGTCGCCTAGTGTAGATGGAGTAGTGTTCACGTAATGACAAGTTTTGACAGTTTAATATCCGCTTAGTTATTTCAATTTGTTTTAAGCATATTAAAAAACTACAACAAAAACCATACAAACTTTATAAAAATTCCGCAAAACTCAACAAGCTTTCATAAAAATTTAAAATTTTGTATACAAATTTTTAGCAAACTTTCGGGTATGCAGTTTTAAAGTGCATTCAATTTTAGTGCGAGTTTGAAGTGGCTCGAAATTTGGGTTGATTTTTGAGAATGATTTTTCCGTTGAAGATGTTGCGCTTTATAAAAATCGAAAATAAATCAAAAAGTAGGGTATTTATTCCTGTAACCTCCTCGTGGTAGACCTTGGTTAAATTTTGAAAGAATTTTTAAAATCCATTTAGTCAAATAAAATAAATTTTTTAAAACACTTCCGACATAAAAGCCACCACTTAAAATTTTTCAATTAAATTAGTAGTTTTATTTCTTTAAATAATATGAATTAAATTATAGCCTTAGTTGATAGATAGGCAACCCTGCTCAAAGACATGTTAGTGTTAAAGCTTGTTCAAATACCTTCCATTTCATACCCATATTGTGGTATTAAATAAGCATGCATTTTTTTAATAAACGTAACTGTAACTTTTTAGAACGGTGGCCACCCCACTCCGAAATATAATTTTAGGGCCAAATTCACCGTGCGTAGTTAACTCTGAAGTAAAAAATCGAGTTCAAGAAAAAGCGTTAAGTCGACTTAGGCGGTTATTGCTTATGACCACAGAATAATAAATTTTCATATATCCGGCAACCCGGTTTCAACAGAAAATATCAATTAGAATGGGAGAAAATAGAACAAATCCGCTGATTTGTTAATTCGTTTAAAGCTGTTAAAACTTCAAAAATTCCAAAATACGTGTGTTTTTTATAATTTTTGGACACCTGGTATTTTTCGATATACCACGGATTTTGATACCTTGAATAATAAGCTATACCAAAAAATATTTGTTTCTGATTTTTTTCATGTTTAATTAGTCAAGTAACAATTTTGGCAACTTTTTCAGTCTTATGGCCCACAGTGGAACGGTGCAAATCTGATGGCATTCACAAAACGATGGTCCGTGCTACTTTATCTCAACTAGCCGATAGCCATCAGTTTATCCTATCATGAACGCTATGCGAATGATTACACTGGTCTACAAGGGTTTTGCGAATAAGACGGGACCTGGTGTTTCCGAACGGATTTTTCGTGCTGAACACGAATCTGGGGTCCAAAACTTCCCATCACGTCACGTTTTCGAGAAAAAAGGGGTTGAAACCCCTAAAAACAGCGTTTTTGGACATTTTCGAAAAATTGTAGAGCTGAACCCTGACGTGCTACAAACTTTGTATATGTCAGAAATTAAAGGCTAAATCGTGCCCTTTCGAATGAGCCCTATGCCGAATTAATCGCATGCACCCTTAGATCAGGGGGTGTATTTGTGTCTAGGAGTCCAGGGAAAATTGATCGCAGAAAGAATTTCATCTTAAACGACCATATAAAATGAATGATGCTAAGGTCTTAACTACATTAAGAGTCGCTGATTACGAATCTGAAGTTAGATTTTAAAAATTCAAAATGGCGGATCCAATATGGCGGACTTAAAAATTTTTATTTAGCGAATTTCAGTTTATTTTTTATATCCACCATATTCGACCCGTCATCTTAAATTTTTAAAATCTAACTGCAGATTCGTAATCAGCGACTTTTAATATAGTTAAAACCTTGGCATTATTAATTTTCTATGATCGTTTAAGATTAAATTCTTTCTGTGATCAATTTTTCCTGCACCCCTAAACACAAATACACCCCCTGCTTTAAGGGTGCACGCGATCAATTCGGCATAGGGCTCATTCGAAAGGGCACGGTTTAGCCTTTAATTTCTGATATATGCAAAATTTGTACCACGTCAGGGTTCAGCTCTATAATTTTTCGAAAATGGCCAAAAACGCTGTTTTTAGGGGTTTCAACCCCTTTTTTCTCGAAAACGTGACGTGATGGGACATTTTTGACCCCGGATTCGTGTTCAGCACGAAAAATCCGTTCAGAAACACCAGGTCCCGTCTTATTCGCAGAAAAAAAGTTGAAATTTGTAGACCAGTGTTATCTTAACTCGATGAACTATCTTAACTTCGTACTGACTCAGATAATCACGATTATTTCACTTTTTGTCAGAGCAGTCAGACAAAATATCCTAACTTATACACTCCTATTTCGTACCTCCATAGCTTAACAGCTTAACATACGACAAAATATTTAGGTGTCAAACTTAAATCGCTTACATCTTTTTCCAACCTCAAAATTGCTTAAAAATCGGTTATAAAAAGTTTTTACTGAAATCTGGATAAACAAGAAATCGTGTTAATATAAACGTGCCAAAAATAATAACATGGTTTGGTCTATATAAATTACGTGTTTTTAGGGTACTGAGTACCAATTTATCAAGGCGTATATCTCAGCATCAATGCAAAAAAAGTCCTATTTGACAATTTTGAAGTTTTACAGGAGACGCAAACAACTTTTAAAATTTACAAAGGAAATTTTTTAGAGATCTTCTAAATACGCCTATGCTTTGGTTTACGGTGTGGCTTTGAATTTTGGTAAATGGGTGTATCTGAGACAAAAAATTAACGGAATATGTAATATACTAATTTTCGAAAGAAAAAACCGTTTGCATTGATGGTGATGATATGTTTAATAAGTAAGTAAGTAGTAGGTTGAATAAGGAAAGGAATTAGCAACAAGAGTTTACGGCGTGTGCATAGCTTTGCACATCGATGACGCGGGTTCGATCGCTGCTGAAGTCTACAAAAAAGAAGTCTGATGAGGAGATGCGGCGATCTCCGAAATAACGCTGCTATAGCTTCAACCGCTTAGACTTTGTTGCTTTTTCCATTTTTTCCTAATAAACAATCGTGATACAAAGCTCAATAACAATATTAAAAAAACAACTTTATAACTTTGCGTTTAACTTACCAAACATCTTGACACATGGACATTCGTCCAGTTTGTAAATCGGTCAGGTACGTATTATTAAAAAGTTCACCCTCTTCATCCTCCATTGCCAAATTCGAACTTCTAGCTGCATTTGATTGCGCCGATGACAAAGATCTTGGCAATGAATTCGTAGCCAAACTGGGACGCTTGAAGTGCGCATTCTCGGTATCTTGAGAATGCTTTAGTTTCGTTGAGAGTATGGCGTTTTGTTTTTGATATTCCAAAATACGATCGTTGGTACGCATAATTTGATCGGAAAGTTTGCGTATGTGCTCTTCATACTTGACATTCTGCGTGGGTGCAAAACAAAAAACAATGTATGCAAATTATAATTTTCAAAAATAATAAGAGACTAGAAAAAACGACGCAAATCTCGAAAGTCACGAAAGTTTGACTAAACTGTGGAAATTGCTTTGAAAGTATTACTACGATTTTATTAGTAATTTTGTTTTACATACCTGTGCGTTCAATTTATCCATTTCTGCTCGCATCGTGCTAAGTTCGCGATCTTGTTTGCCTTTCATTTTCGTTACTTCTTCGGTATAGAGCGTTTTCTGATGTAAGGGAAGCAAGCAAGGTAAACGTAAAACAATGGAACGAGGCCAAAGATTTCGGGGTTTGTGTGAGAAAATCGAACGTAAGGGGTCAAAAAGAAATTGAGAAAATAACATAGGGCGCAAAATGATAAATTTTTTTTTTTTGTCAAACTAAAATTAAAAAAAATATACATATATATAATGTATGCCTTGCTAACTAATTGCATGCCGCGTGATGCTTAAATCGATTGATTTGTATTTTACTAACAATAAAAGTTGCATACTATTTAATTTGCATAGATATCGAACGATAAATGCTGAGCGTGTAAAAAATAAGTTTTACTACTAAATATTGAATATCCAGTTTAAAATCTAGTTTCTTCAATGATTTGTTTTGAAAAGTGTTTAACAATATCGTAATTATTGTAGGCATTCGGGGTAGGGACATCACAGCTGCACAGTGATTTCTTCTCTTCTACTAAAGTATATACAAGTGCATACTTAATCAAAAGCACAAATAGACATATAGACAAAACAACTACATACAGACACTTGATTTCACTTGTGCCGGATAACATTAAAAACTACTAATTATATATACACATGTATGTATATGTTTATATATCAAAATTTTACAATAACAAAACTAAGTAAAAAAAAAAACATTTGAGCTCATACAATTGTTATACACTAAAATAAAATTAGTCGCGCATTCACACACAGTTTTGGGTTAAGAGTAAGCAAAAAAAAAATACTCCAATGAATAATATATTGTAGATAAGAATCCTCGCACATGGAACGAGTAGAATATCTTGCGAGGAATGCTGGTGTCCTGCATCTCGTTCAGAATACAGGAGGGGAATTGCTTGTGAATGACAGCTCCATATCATTTTGTTTCATAAAGAAATTGAATGTAATTGCAAGCAGTACTTGCGACATGAACACTACAATGAAATATCTGAAACAGGTGTTGAATCGTTTTTTCCACTTTGTCCTGGTCCCATAGATTTCGAACCCGTGACATTGCGTCTGCGTCGTCGTAAGTTCGATTTCAGAAAGAAGAAATGAAAAAAGTAAAAGAAAAACCAAGGTCAGAAAAGCTGTATTCGTTTAAATGGTAGTAATTCAAACAAAATAGTGATGAAGTAACTTAACGAGAAAAGAGTAACAGTGGGTGGTATTTATTGGTGGTGAAGTTGCTGTTGAGTGATGCAAAAAGATATGTCACTTCTGAGATTGTGGTTAAGTACATGCTTGTATATGTAAATGTTGCAGTGTGGCATTTGACATTTAGACAGTTATTAGTTTTAAATGTATAATATTCAATTAACCCGTTAAAGAGCGATACCGCTACCAGTTCCAGCAAACTGATTTCAATGAAACTTCGTACACCACCTAAACTTGGCACGCTATATCTCCTAATAACTGAGACGTTTCTTCGACTCTTTGACTATTTCACACAAAATTGGCCCTGAAATCTCTGAAGATATCTGTGCAGCTATTGAACACTTCACAAGTTGTGTCCAACAAGCTGCTCGAAGCTCAACTCTTCTTGATGACCGAGCAGGTTCGCTGATGTAAAAGCCAAATTAAGAGAAAAACGGCTTGCTAAAAAAGGTGGCAGCTAACTCGATATCCTGCACGGTGTTTACACCTGATTATATTGTACCCCCACCCAATATAATGGAAAACGTAGAAACTCTTTTGAGTTATACTTTTCAAATGGACCCACTTCTACATACATAAATTCACTAAGACGGAAGTTAAAACAGCAATTCGAAAGTTAAACCTAGAAAAAGCTCAGGAAATCATCAATTCTCTGACTCATGTATTTAATGCAGCTCTCGCGAAAGACTCTACCGCCCCAGTGGAAAGTTTCACCAATAAAAATGAAAACTCACACCTGGAAAAAATAACAGATAAAATCAAATCATACCGACCAAAGAGTTTACTACCCATTGTCACCAAGATCATGGAAGTGATTTTCCTTAAAAAGCTACTTCCAATTATAGAAACCCAATCACCCATTTGGCCTCAGAAAATCAAGCAATAGCAAACCTTCCAAGTATATTTCTGGTGACCCGACTCCCTATGAATGCAGTTAGTTGATCGCTCGTCGATGCGTTGTCGGGTCCAGCGGTTGGTCAATGTAAAACTGGACCGCGTCCAAGTATACGAATAGGTGCCCCGTGACGTGCCTGAACGGATTCTCCCCCTCTAGCAAGGGTCTGTTGGTGTGTTCACGTCTGTGGCATCCCACCAGAAACTGCTTGCTTAGCATTTTGTTGAGCTCCCTTCCAGGCTGCAATTGGGCCTCGCTGTAGGTGGTGCTCAGGCGACATCAGAAGGCACCCTGTAGTTGTCCGGAGTTCTGAAAAGTCTGTAGTTTCGCACACTGCGCACAACTACACCTTTTCCAATAGTACTTTGGAAAGTATCAGTTTGATTTTAGAAAGCGTCAATTCGGTTTTAGAAAGTATCATATGGATTTTAGAATAGTCAAATGTTGTTTGGAAGGCGTCATATGTACTGTAGATTTATTAAATGTACTTTAGAAAGCATCATTTCAATCTTAGAAAGCGTCAAATAAACTTTAGATTAGTCAAAAGTACTTTAGAAAACATCAAATGTACTTTTGAAGCAAGCAAATGTACATTATAAAGTATCAAATGTACTTTAGAAAGTGTCAAATGTACTTTCGAAAATATCAAAAATACTTTCGACAATATCAAATATACTTTCGACAACATCAAATATACTTTCGAAGATATCAAATGTACTTTAGAACATATCAAATGTACTTTAGAATCATATTCTAAGTCTCCCTTTAAATTGTTCATATTGCACCTAACATTTTTTTTTAAGATTAAGACATGTATATAGGTTGTAGTAATGTTTTTATTGAAGTTTTATATTACAATAAAGATCTAATGCAACGAACAGTTTTCACTGTCCAACTGGCATATTGTCAAGCGAAATTACAGCAGCGTGGAACGACGTACTGTGCTGCACCGATCTAGCGCAATCTCCACCATTAACAGCGGCGGCAGCGTTTTTTATTAGGCCCTCTAAATACTGCAACCTTTGCTCAATAACACCCGGTCCAATCACGTCTGGAGTCCGTATATTTGACTTTACATTCGCCTTAATTTTTCCCCATATTATCTCTATGGGGTTAAGCATAGGAGAATATGGTCCAAGCCGCAATAAAGTGGACTCTGCACATACCTCGTGTAGCTTTGAATGGCATGGCGCGTTGTCGCACACAATAATGGCATCGGTAAGCTAATTACCCATTTCGCACCACCTATCTAAAACGGAGCGGAGCCAAGCGTTTGCGTCCTCAGACTTGAAGGATCCTCTTCTGGTAGTCATTTTGACTACACCAGACGCATAAATGGCCCCAATAAGGTGCACGTTTGGCCCTTTAGCCACTGGTAAAACTTGTACCGCACGTTTTCCAACCTTAGCACGACCTCGTGAACGCCGACAAAATAAATTAAAATTTGTCTCGTCGATGTATAAAATCTGCTTGCCTTCCTGAATATATTGATTCAACGTACATACGTATTCGCGGCGCTTTTCCTTATTTAGCTGCGAATTCATTGATTGAGGTTCCTTATGAATCCCCTTCATCGTAAAAAGTTGTCCTTGTAAATAGTTTCCCACGCTGGAAATGCACACATCTTTTCTAAACGTTTGTTTAATTTTTTCACGAATTTTTGTGAGTGTCATAGTGGCATCCTCCTCAATCCATTGGACCATCACTGCAACTTCATTGTCCGTCAGCGCTCTTTCTTTTGTACCACCTCAGCGCTCTTTCTTTTGTACCACCTCGCCTTAGTGCTTGAGGAGTGCCAGAAGATACCCATACGTAAGCCGTTTTATATTTTACATTTAAAGACTCCGCCAGCTGCACCCAATCAAGGCCTTTATTGGCTGCCTCCACAATTCGCTTCCTGTCTTCAGCAGAGTATTTTATGTTGGCACGTCGCTCAACTGATTCGGCAACTGAAAGAAATTGAATCATTTTCATTAATGCAATAGTTTTTTAAATAAAATAATTGCTTTGCATTACTTACCCGTTACATCGCTTCGACAAATTGGACAACTTGTTGCGGTTGGTACATTTTCAAAACAGTCAGCATTAAATAGGTGTCTGCATGGCTGTAACCTTTTCAATGCTCGACGCTTCATAGAGACGAGGCAAAATGCGCAGTTATCCTGAACTTGCATTGTTAACGACTACACGTGAGTATTTAAAATACTCGTAATATTTATTCTACATTTTACATTTTTTTTTAAATGTTACTCGGTTATGTTATATTACATACAGTAGATATTTTCTAAAGTGGATTTGATATTGTCGAAAGTAGATTTGATATTGTCGAAAGTACTTTTGATATTTTCGAAAGTACATTTGACACTTTCTAAAGTTCATCTGATTTTTTCAAAAAAAACATTTGGTGTTTTCAAAAGTACATTTGTTGCTTTCTGAAGTACATTTGACTACCCTAAAGTACATTTGACGCTTTCTGAAATCTAAGTGCTACTTTCTAAAATACATTTGATAATTCTAAAGTATTTTTGACATCTTCTAAAGAACATTTAACTATGCTAAAGANCTTTCTGAAATCTAAGTGCTACTTTCTAAAATACATTTGATAATTCTAAAGTATTTTTGACATCTTCTAAAGAACATTTGACTATGCTAAAGACCATATGATACCTTTTAAAATCGAATTGACGCTTTCTAAAATCGAATTGATGCTTTCTAAAATCCAACTGATACTTTCGAAAGTACTATTGGAAAAGGTGTAGTCCCCGGCGACCAAACAGGCGCAGTATAGTTAAGAACCGGTCAGCCAATTGCCTTGTATGTTGCCAGCAACGTTTCTTTGTCTTTTGCCTCAGGTGAGGCCGTTGTTTCGGCTCTGTACTTTGTTGACAACTGCGGTTGTGTGCGCGGAGAAGAAAAGCAGGCTAACAAAAGTAACCCCTAAAATTTTCGGGTTGTT